TCATTTATAAGAAAAAAAAAATTTAAACTATGATCACAAATTGATTGATAATTTGCATTGTTAAATAAGCAGACAATCATTTTTCAGCAATTCATCAGTGACTTGGTAGTTTTTGTTTGATAAATTACTCTAGTAGTATGCCATGATGAACTATGATGAACTTCACAAAATGTTTCCTAAATTTAACCTTTCACTCATCCAGTCCTATTGAATCTATCTTCCAACTGTTCCTACCTGTGAATAGAGAATGATGGGGCGTTGGGACAAGGAGGTGTCAGGGACAAGGGGAGGCAGGGTCAACAAGTCACGGTGAGGCTGTCTGCCTGACAGAGGCCTGCTCCACCACTCTGTCCACAGCCGCGTATTCAAACTGTCATCATGGTCCTCCTGAGCAAACTGAGACTTCCAGAACCGTGGAGCCCTGTGGGGAAGAAGAAGAAATGATGATGGTCTACATAAAGCACAGAATGTTGGTGAAAGGAGTTGACAATATGTGTTTTATCCAGCTGATGCAGGAGATAACACACAGACAGACTTGTGTATGGAAGCTAAACACAGTGAAGCGTGACAGTCACCAGTAGTACAGCAGAGCCTCAATGAGGCAGGGCTGAACTGAACACAGTTTCTCTTCTGTCCAGCAGGTGGAGGTGGTCAGTCCCAGTGTGGAGAGCAGCTCTGTGTTCAGACTGCTGTGACTGCTGCTCAGCAGGTACCGGCCCCTCATCAGGACCAAGTGTCTGGATAAACACATTGGATCACATTTGATATTTGTATTTTCATTGTATTTTAAAAAACATTGGATTTATTTTGTAGTTGCGTTAGGTATCTATAGTGTCATGATCTTTGCATCATCATCGGTCTTCTATACAGTGAAAAAAGAGAAGGTTGATGTTCACCTGTTCTTTCGCTCTCTGTGTTTTTCAGATTTCAGTTTTTCTATGTCCATCCAGAGATTAATCAGTTTTTCTCCAGGCGTTCCTCGCAAAAACTCCCTGAACTCATCCAAGCCAGGTCTGTTGTCCAGACAACAGGTAACATGGCAATCACTGACATTTCCTCTGTTTTTGTCCCAACTCCCCACCTCTCTATTCCTCTTATCACATTCTGTCTTTTCCTCCACTGGATTCCCCGTCTTCTCTTTAACTTTCACTTGTATCCCCTCCAGTTGCTTTCTGCCTCCATTAGCTGAAATTTGGCAAACATATTCACACAATTTCTCCTCCTTGCTGGTGCCATTTGTCTGCTCTGCTGACGTGTTGAAACAGTCAGAAATGTTTCCCTGGCTCTCATCAGTCATTACGTTCAGGGCATTGTTAAGCACTTGTTTAACTACTTTGGCAGCCAGGTCCTCCAGCTGTGACTCAAAACTCTGGCCCCTGGATTCTTTGAGATATTGCATCTCTGGGCAGAGGTGCAGCTCTATTTGTGTGCTCTGGGGTTCCTCGGTTTTATTACATTTAAGGTTAGAGGAGGAGGAACATGATGAGAACAAGGAGGAAAAGGTACGTGAGTTCTCTGGCTCAGAACAGCTGGACGAACATCTGGATGATTCTTTGCATTTTGTATTGATACGTTCCTTCTGGTCAGAGGGTGGATACGTCAGGTTGTACTTTGTCAATGACACTGAAAGGGAAGGAAAAAGACAACATAGGAGTCTTGAGCTTCATGACTCTGCACACAAATACAAGACTCAGATATGTACAGAAAGGAAGTAAAAAGGTAAGTACCTTGTTTTGATGAAATGTTCTCTAGAGAATGTGAACATGTAAGAACCTTTGGTGCCTTGTTACTTTCTTTGTCAAACCAGGAGGAACAGCACAGTTGTGGGGCTGACAGAATGCTCCGACCTGTGCTGCTCCTCTGTCTCTGGATACAGATGTTTGGGTCCCACTGACACAACATCTTGGCCAGTCTGAAAAAAAACAACCGAATAGAACTGATCCAGCACTGTTCAAAGAACACACTGAGCAGACAAATGTGACTATGTTATTTCTCTTTCACTGCTTCTGTGTGAAGGATGCAGGTCAGCATGGGGCGGTCAGGCATCTGATATGAACAGGGATGTGGCCCTAAGGCCTCTCAATAGATGCATAAAGGATTAGATGGACAACAATCTCAAACACAATCACAAGGATTCTTTGAAGCTAGGCAATGAGACTGCATTGTACTGCTAGAGGTTAATGCTCTGTAAACGTTACACGTGATAATGATAATCATGATATTATATAAATATGACATATCAAAGCTGACTGGAGCCAGTCATATTTGAATAGAAATGCTACAGCAAATAAGCATCAAGGTTGTTGCAGGGCTGAAGTGACAGTTAAGTTAGCAAAATAAGAAATATATCCATTAGAATTCAGACACAGTCAGAAACTGACATATCTCAACATCAAGCTTAATAAGAATATAGAACAAGTAATCTACAATACAGCAGGTGCAACTACATTTGTTCTCTAGTGTGGTGGGTCCCTACACAAACTGATAAGCATGTGTAGTACCTGTATTCAATGTAGCAATCACTCTGAAGGAAAAGTGGCAATCTTTGCTCCATGATCCACTGGATTCCTTGTGTTCTGTCCAGACACTGCCACGGTCAGGGAGACACAGTCAACCCTCAAAAGCCACAGCACATACTTCTGCTCTTCTTCAAATCAGTGGATTTGTACTTAAATGAATTTCTGTCTGCTTACAGAGACAGTGAAGTGGTTGTCCAGAGGAGGAGTTCTGGTCAGCACTGAGGGGTCACCGGTCAGGAGTTGGGATTTGCTGTGGTGTAGAACTGATCTGATTCTTCTGGATATAACCTCAGCTTCTCCACTCACCAGCTCAAACAGCCGCGTCTCCTGGTTGTACAGCACAGCCTCAGGGAAAGACTGAGACAAGATGTTGAGTATAGGTATAAGAAGGGTTTAAGTGTTATTGAAACTATCCTACTGTATATCACTACAATATATCTTAAATTATACATTATATCTATACTTTACCGGCAGACTTAGGAAATCATTGAAGAAGCGAGCTAATACATCATCAGTGGCCAGTGTGTGTTCCTGTACGGATATAACGATTAACTCAAAGTATGGCTATGTTAATAATGTAAACAGATTGAGTCATGACGTTCTGAACCATTAATACTTGTACTCACAAAATTGTCAGCCGTAAGATTTGGTAACACTTTAAAGACAAAGAAAACGTTTACAGTAAGTTAGACCAACATCTGTTCAAATATATGAGTAACTTTAACTTTGTTAATTTCGCTCTTACCTGCTGAAACTCGTCCACACATGTTTACCTCTTAAATACAGCTGCCTGAAAAGTAGTTTGAAACCGAGGGTGTAGAAAGTCAAGTCAGGAAGCTACATTCAGCCTCACTGAGCCAGACACCAACCTCTCAGTGTAATTACAGACACACTGCAGGTTGCTATGGAAGTGGATTCATTTCAAAACACAGGGGGCAGTAAAAGTTTAACTAAAGGAAACCAGGCAAAAATACGTTTGTTGTTACTTTGTTTTCAGACCTAAACCTTAGTTTATTATAATTTTGTCTAATAAGTGTCTTTACTAGCATTATCCAAGTTTGCTAACATGTAATTAAAGTTAGGTAACAAATTACATGTACTTTGTTGTGGCTGTTAAGACAAGGTGCAATCACACCACTAGATGGCAGCAAACACTGATAGATTTATTCATACAGAAAACAAAGGAGATCTTCAAAAATGAGACAAGTGACACAGGAGTGTAAAAAATAAAATAATCACAAGATTTATTTTAAAACGATCTGAAAAAACACTGGTAAAAGCTGAAAATCTCAGGAATTTCAAAAAACATGCTCTACACTTGACAACACTGTGTATTGAGAATTACATCAACAGCAAAATTCAGTCACTGTGCTGCTGGGAGCCTTCCTTCAAATTCATAATTAAAAACACAGAAGAAAGAGTCAAGATGAGAAAAAAGTCATACATTACATAGACAGGCACAAAGACAAAATGATGAGCACAGAACAATATACTGGCAACAAATGAGTTTCCTTGTTGCCAAGCCTCATTTTTACCATTAGGCAGAAAAAAAAGTGCTTAATGGACCTTGGCATAGCAAGAAGGAATAGAGTTCACTCCTCATAGTCTCCTGACGTTTCTCCGACTTTGAGCACTTCCTGGGAGGAGTATGTCCTTTTTGCGACGGCCAACAGACTGGCTGCCACACTCTCTAGATCCATGAAAAGTGCACAAGCAAGCGGTGCAAAACTTGAAACCACAGTCCGCATTACTGCACACACCTTCCCCTTTCACTGAGTGACATCTTGCTGGATGCTGACATCGAGGGCAATGCTTGAGGCACTCATCATTGAAGAGCGTTTTGGCAACCTGAAAGAAAAATAAGTTATATGACATGGCTCAAAGTAAATGTTTTAAGTAAACATTTAAATTCATAATTAAATACATCCAAATAACTCTTGGACACAACATGTCTTCTTCAGGCTGTGTGCTTCAGTGCATTGAATTCGTAAAAACAAATAATAACAACAATAAAATGCTATATCCGAGCTTTACATCACTAATGTAAGTTCCATGGGCGAGATGTAGCCATGTGTCCAGATTTCAAAGGGATCAAAATAAGTGGACACTCACCTACTGAATATTTCTTATGCAGCTGTCTGAAGTTTCAAAGTAAGCCAATGCACAAAAGAGCTCACACATTGCTCTGCGTTACACAAGAGATGCTATTTAGACTGAGGTGGAGTTGTCTGTCAATTAGGAGTGTGAGGTGACCATGCAAGTAAAGATAATATATGGATACTAAAAGGTGGTTGGCATTTTGCAAAAACAAAAATGACAACACACAGGTGCACACAGGGAAACTGAAAGATGGAAAATTGACCTGGTAAACTGAGGAGCACAAGTCTTATGGATGGATCTTGTGGATTATTTACACACTGGACAAAACACCATGACTGCACAATGAGTAAACGACCAACGGAGGCCTTTATAATATAAATGATTCAGGAAATCTGCGGTGATGTTTTAAACTCACTTCTAGAAATTTCTCTCGTTTGCTGCTGCTGCCTGAATGTACGGCACTGTGCTGTAGTTGGACTGAAGTGCTATTTGCTGACTGCGGGGTGCAGTAGCTTGAAGTCCTGGACTGAGCCTGAACCGTCTTGAGGGCCGACCTCTTTAGAAGAGTCAGTCTGGTCTCTGCATCAGGGACATGGACTGCACCACTGAGCTGTAAGACAAAGGCAAAAGGTTTGAGAGTTATTTCAAACCACCACACCCATGTTAATGTGACAGTGGATGCTTTGCCTTCCACAGCTGATGCACAATACCTGCTTGAAGCAGACAGGCACAATGTTACTGCAGTATACTGACGACACTATAGTGACTAATATAGCAAATGTCCTACCTCAAGAGAAGCAGTCACTTCACTCAGGTGGCTTCTTCTCCTTAAGGCAGCTCGCTTGTCCTGCCGGATAATTTCACTCCAGCTTTTGCACACCTGACCACACCTGTCAAACAAACAAATGCAGGTATGAGACCAATGTCTCCAGCCCTCACTGCACCTTTACCAGTGTCCCTGTCAAGCCTGATGGTTTGAGGAATAATCAGGAGTCACGTTAAATTAATAAAACTATAAAAAGGCAAATTGTGTCAAAACTCTGAAGGTGAAATACTGATTCTTAATTAAAAACATCATTGGTTTTCTATCTCGACTTTTATGGTTTACTTGCATACATCTACAACTTGGACAAGAATAATGTCCTATACTTTTGGTCATCCATCATACATTTGAATGTGTATTAAATTGACAGGACAGTACGATTTATTGTGTACACTATATCTTTTTGAATATAAATGATTATGTGTGACTTTTGCACAGGATAAAGCAGATGGGAATTGAGCTACTTGGTCATTGAGAATTGTGGTAAATTTGTTAAGTTTGTTGAAAACATGAACTCCTCACCTGTAGATGCTCTCAGAGGTCAGGTGACTGAATATGACAGCCAGGATGTGCCTGAGGTTCCTCTTCTTCAGTTCTGTGAGTATGTCCATCTTCCCCAGACCCATCTTCCTGCCAATCAGACCTGCCAATGGCATAGCTGTCCTAAACGTCACCGGGGTCTCAGCCAGTGCTGCTGTGGACTTCAGCTGCTCCTTCAGGCTTGGACTTTGGCCAGCAAACATCTGAGCTTTCTGCTGGCACATGGCATGAACAAGCTGCAGAGCTGGGGTCAGTGAGAGATTGACTGGGGTGGTCCTGAGAGGGGTCACATCTGGATTAGCAGCTGTGCCTAAAGGTGTCATGTTTTCTGGCTTGGCTGTGGTGGCTTTAAGAGGGGTGGCATAATCTTGTTTTAAATAGGCCAAACCATCAGAAGTCACGCTATTATTACACTTAATAGAGAGAACTCTGCGAGGAGTAGTATCATCAGCAAAAACATCCTTAGAAGAGCTGTGGCTCAGATTAAGATGTTCATGGTTTCTGTCTGCTGGGTCTTCCTCCGACTGAGAGCCCCCTTCTTTTAGCGTAGAGAGCCTGTGCTGACGCTGCAAACGGGAGCGCCGCTTTGCCTCTGCAAGATTTTGGGTTTCACAGTTTCTTCTGGAGGCAGGGAGCAGCAGCTCCTGGAATGAGCCATCATGGTCCACTGAGGAGTCCTGGGAACTGAAACCACTGTCTTCACACACCAACCTAATGCAGGGTTAAAAGGGAGTTAATGCAGGCATTATTCTTTTATTTATAGCTTCAAGTATTATTAATGGAAAATTACAAATACATTGTGAAAGTCAAATCTTAAAAAAAAGACATGTACCTGATGTACCTGGGCGTATGTGAGGAGGATGGAGTGCAAAATAAGTCATTTAGGTCATTTGTCAAAACAATGACTGGTGATTGAGAGTTTTCCTTGGATGAGACAGGCAGAGATTTTCTGGAGTTCGGAGTCTCAATATTAATTTGATCAGAGGCAGAAAAGCTCTTACTGAAATCTGCACCTGAGAGGGAACCTATTCTCTCAAAATCAGCAGGTTGAGCAGATTGGAGTTTACCATCTTCAAGAGTGGAGGTCCTCATCTGTGAAAAAAGGAGACGGCGTTTCCTGCCAGATAAAGGCAGGTCCTGTTTCAGGTTTAAAGTGCTTGATGCCAAAGCCCCTGAGTCTAGAGAGTCAAACGATGCACTGAGCCAGTGATCAGATCTGACACTGATGGTGGAAGATTCAGTCCTTCTGTTGCACAGCGATCTTGTGCTGTCAGTTTTGACATCTGTGTTGGGTTTGCACATCAGAAGTCTGTGTCGCAGCAAGGCATCTCTTTTATACACTTTTGGGGTTTCACACCAACTAACACCAACACCAGCTGATGGCTGCTGTGTCGCCCTGGAGCCCTGTTCCAAAAACCTGACCGACTCTCTGCTCCTCTCTCTCGGTGTGACAGGACGTCCGAGGTTTTCTTTGGGCTTCTCATTGAATTCAACAGGTGACAAAGACCTACAGAAGTCCACTCCACGGATGCTCTGCGGACTGTGGAATAACCCCGAGTATCCACTGTCACAGCAGTCATCATAACAGTGCTGCTCTTTGCACCTCGCAAGGTAAACATTTGATTCAGGGGTGTACTGCATTTTCCTCCTCCGATGTGCTAACTTTGCCCCAGAACCAAGAGGCGAGGTGACCTGCAAACAACAAAGAGCAGTAAATAACGTAACTTAAGCATGGCATTAAATAACAGCATGGCATTAAATAACAGCATAGCATTAGAGTGTTACCTGAGAGATTATGTACATGCATGGCAAATTGGCTCAAAGCTAAGCTATCTTAACTGTTTAACTGCTAATGTGTTTGTAAAGACTTGTTTTTAATTAGGTAGCATTTCTGGATTCTTTCTGTGATAGATACTAAAAGAAATAGGTGGAATCCATCATTTAGTGGTTCCTTGTGTACAGAGTCATCAGTCTGAATCAGATCCTGACAGAGAGGCTGAGTCTGAATCAGATCCTGACAGAGAGGCTGAGTCTGAATCAGATCCTGACAGAGAGGCTGAGTCTGAATCAGATCCTGACAGAGAGGCTCAGTCTGAATCGAGAGGCTCAGTCTGAATCAGATCCTGACAGAGAGGCTCAGTCTGAATCGGATCAGTCTGCTTCAGTTGCCATGAGAGCGCTTGTTGTTGAATGCGCGTGCTCTTTGTGATGCCGCTATAAAGTGAGCTCGAGTCGCCAACACAACGTGTCCTGACTCGCTCTCCACTGCTGCAGTGGACCCCCCCCCCCCCCCCCCCCCCCCCCCCCCGGGATCCATCTTTCACTCCCAGTGAACCCTCACCCAACAGCAGCTAACGAGACCACAGCTGGTTCACTGGGTGACAATCCATCTTAGTGTGCGCGTTCTGATGAGCAAAATGGCGTTGTTAATTATTACTTATTTTAATTCCACTCTTGATTTCTTTTTAAACACCTTTGTGTATTGTCTTATGTTGCTTTTACAATCTGTCGCGCTGTCTTTCGCATTGCCTTGTTGAAATGTGTTTTACAAATGAACTTATGCCAAACTCGCACAAACGTGTTAGAGTAACGAGCACGATGTGAGACACCTGCGTTAATGACAGAGGGAACTCTTGTGTAATGATGACAATCAACACGTTGACACACACAATATAAACACTGGCTCCTATAAACACACACCTAATAACCACATGCCAGCGTGGTGTCCGCGTCGACTCGTGTAGAAGCATCTTTACACACATAACGTGTGCAACACATTCAACATAGGAGGAAACCACACGCTCCCTCAAGTCACTGGGTAATGACTCATCATGCATCGTGACTCAACTGCAAAAACATGGAGTAATGTGCATTTAAACCTGGATTTGAAAAGGATGAAGACTTACTTCTAGATGGAAGCGGGTCCGTGTGAAGCCGGTGTTGTGTGGTCGGGATCAGCTGCAGGCCTCAGTCTGCGCCCCTCCTCGGTGTGTGTGTGTGTGTTTGCTTCATGCTGGTCCACAGTCACCGAGCAGCCACGTTTTCAAATTTGGAGCCCGCTGTAGACAGTGTCACGTGTTTCCGCTTCAGCGTGCCGCTGGCCTGCCCTGCGCGGTTACCATAGTAACACGGCCCGCTTTTCAGAGAGGACCTTCAACAAACAGCAGCAGGTACAGTTATTTATACAGTTATTTATACAGTTATTCATCTACACTTTGGTTCATTTCTCTAGTCTGAGTCACTTTTTACAGTTACTTTCTGTCTTTCCTCAAATACGAAGACACAGGTCACGTTCTGTAGAGATGACACCGTGTCAATTAACAGTATCGCTCGGTTAGCTCACTTTTCTAAGCTTGCTATAGCTATATATCACTCAGAGCTGCCAAGCTAACGTCATCCAGTAAACAGGACGACATGTCCCTGCACCACCAGTTACTCTGCTGCAGACAGGACACTGGGGCCCATTGCACAAAACTAGGATAAGGGATTAAGCTGGGATATCTTGGTTATCCTGGCTCAACTTATCCTGATCCAGTTGCACAAAAGCGGGATAGTGGATATGGGATATGTTATGACATACGTTACCATGGAGATTTATTCTGTGGAGCTAGCCTGCTCCAGACCAGGCTAAATTTTAAATCACAGTCAAAGTCAGCTTTATTGTCAATTTCTTCACATATACCAGACATACAAAGGAATCGAAATTATGTTCCTAACTATCCCACGGCGAAGACAAGACAAGTCTTTTTCTAACACTAAAGTAACAGTAAAGTGCACAGGCACAACAAATAGAGACAGACATATCTTAACACTAAAGTACACAATAAATAAAATGAAAGTTAATTTTCAAGGATCTATTTAATCTTATCCCTTATCCCAGTCAGCAGTACCCACAAATGGAAACCAATAGTTATTCCACTGCCCACTTATTACTAATTCTTATCACAATCAACTAGACCCACTGTCATTATTTAAACATTTGTGATCATTAATTTCAATCATTTTAGATAAATGATGATTTTTTCTTTGCAGGCATGAGTGCAGATGCAGTTTTTTCACTTCAAAACCAATCCACCAGTGTTGACTATAGTGTCCATGTGGAGCACCTGGACTATAATTACATTGAAGAATGCAAAAATGTGAAATACGTGGAGAAGATTCTGAAAGTCCTGAGGTAAAAACCACACAAGCTTGAGATGTGTGGAGAAAATATATGAATATAAGTTTCCTACTATTATTTGTGTTGGTTAGCTATTCTGTATACAATAATTGTTCACTATCATGTAGATTATATACATGCTACAACTTTTTAGAGGGTCATGCACAATCTAACTAAATACAGTCTGATTCACTTGGCATTATCAGAATTTCAGAACACATTGTTTTACTTTGTGTTAAGGTCTGGTCAAGAGGGCATTTATCCTCACCTGATCGAGTTCTGTGAGAGCCACTTGGAAAAACTGGACCCTAAGAGCCCAGCCCTCAGGAAGGAAAACTCAGTCGCAACAGCAGCCAGCCTCTTAAAAGATGAGTGGAGCCAAATTGTTGAGGATATGAAGGTATGAAAAGCGAGGTAGTGTATTTTATTTATTGATTGATTGATTTTTAATAGTTTTTTTTTTTTTTACAGACATGGCAAGAAGAAACGAAAAGAAATGAAACTTCACTGAAACAACAGGCAGTGTTTGATCTAGGGAAAAACAATATTCCACCAATAAGAGGTTCCCATTGCTCCATTCTACTATGTGAGGTAACAATTGTTCTCCCCAATGTAAGTTAAGTAATTATGGACATGTATGCATACAAAAATCTGTGAGGTGAAATGTTATGTCATCACAGACTTCGAATGCAGAGGAAAAGAGGAATCCTTCAAAATGCACTCTTCCTCGTGATTATCGAGAATGGGACAAGTGAGTCATTTTGTCTCTACACTGTTACAACAGCTGCAGCCACTATACACACACAGGTTCCCAAGAGTTTACTTTGTAAAAAAATCCACAGCTAAGATTAGAAGTTGATGATGTTTTAATCATTTTTGCAGAATATCAAATACCCATATATAGTTTACTCTTTTTCCAGATTCGATGTGGAACGAGAATGTGAAAGGATTGATGGGAATGTGGTCAACAAAAACATTCCTTCAGCCAAGGGACATTCTAAAATCAAGACAAAAGTGGATGCCTCATGTAATGTATTTTGTCTAACATCATATTTATTTTGTGATCATTGCAAAGCATTGTGTATTCTTCAGTTGTGTCGGTATTTATGTGTACTGTGTGGTCTCTTCCCATACTGTCCGTTCAGTTCTGACCAAACCGGAGAAGCTCCTCCTGGCAAATCGTGAAAAGGACAAAGGCAATGAAGCTTTCAGAGCCAAAGATTATGAGGAGGCAGTTGTGTACTATTCCAGGTCAGATAAGCACCATTTATTATTGAAAGTGTTTCACATCTCTCAGGTGGGATTGATCATTTTTCCTGGCATTTAATCACAATGACGGCTATTTTCAATGAAAGTGTGAAAGTTTATTCCATGAACTGTACCTCGAAGTGCTTGTCCATTGTAAAGGAAGGTCTGTTTTATTATTGGCTTTCCATGATAGGAGCCTTTCCATTTTACCAACTGTGGCTGCATACAACAACAAAGCCCAGGCCGAGATCAATCTCAAGCACTGGTACGATGCAATGTCAGACTGCCAGCGTGTTCTGGAGCTTGAGCCAGGCAATGTGAAAGGTGCTTTTCTTTTTATTACTGAACTTCAACTGGAATGACCTTTTACAGTGCTTGTAAATAGAACTGTTTGATGTGCTATAATTCTATAATTCTAACTTTAAATCAGCATACAAGATCTTAAGTGTGTGCATGAATGTGTGTATTTTATATCAACAGCCCTACTACGTCGTGCCACTGTGCACAAGCACATGGGTCAATTTGAATTGGCTGTTGAAGACCTGAGGATGGTTCTTATGGAGGAGCCTCAGAATCCAACAGCCACAGTATGTCAAGCCAAGTAAATTAGTTAGTTTATAACTTGCCAGGAGCCCTTTGTCCACTAGATGTCACTGTAGTTCTGTGAGATCACGGAATTATATTCAGTGATTCATTTGCACTCTGTCACTGCTTTAAATAGAGAATGATGTAGTGTTTTCAATAATCATCATATAATATATGTGATTGTGGTATCAATACATGTATAACCTTTGCTGACCTATACTTAAAGGTTCAGTGTGTAGAATTTAGTGACATTAAGTGGTGAAGTTGCATGTTGCAGCTGAACACCCCTCAACTCACCCTTCCCTTCCAAACTTGACAGAGAACTTGTGGTAGCCTTCAGTTGTCATAAAAACTCAAAAAGTGAATAGTTTGTCCAGTCTGGACTAATGTAAAAAACATGGTGGCCCTGTAGAGAGAACCCTCTCCCAATATAAATAAAAAGCATTTCAATGTAAAGGGCCCATTCTAGGGGAAAGAAAATAATAATTTATACAATTTAGATGAAACACACCAGTGAAAACATCACTAGGATTATTTTATAGTCAATTGCTGCCAATAGATATACCCTTTCACCTAAATCTTCCACACTGAACCTTTAACTGAACTGGGTTGGTCTCCTGCCTTGATGAATTCTAATGTTGGTCTATTATTTGTGGTACAGAAACTTCTGTCTGAAACTGAGAAGCTGAAGGAACGTCAACCAGAGCAACAGAGAAAAGGCAAAAAAATCCTCATCCAAGAAGTAGAAGAGAAAGATGAAAACAGCAACGATGACACAAAGGCAGAATGTATGTTTTTTTACTGACTCTATATAATCAATATCTATAACCTTTATTTAAACAGAAAAAAATAACTGTAATTCCCTGAATCCATCCAGAAATCTGTATCTATCCAATCTCTTAAATTGAATTAGGGGAATGGTCCCTATTTCAGCATTTTTGCTGCTGTGAAGCCAGGAATTGATTGCTAAATGATTATCTCCCCCTAATACACCAGTTATTGCTGGCACACTTAAACCAAAGAACTTAAAAGAGTAAATCAATAGCCCTGGAAAAATTACTTCATTTGCTTAGTCATACAGTAGAGTCTGACCAATGCATCTATCAGCCAATAGGTGGCATTGTAATTATAATACAGAGATGCAAAAGATATGTTTAACATAATTTGGATAGACATTATTATATAGACAGAGCTGACAACAAAATGTCCCACTCTCTGAAGCTCAGGGGGTAGAGCGGTCGCCCTCTAACCAGAAGGTTAGAGATTCGATCCTGGTCTTCCCCATTCCACATGCTTGAAGTGTCCATGGGCAAGACACTGAACGTCCAACTGCCCCTGAAGGCTGAGCCGTTCTCATAGATAAAGTGCTGCACATAGATGCATATCTGAGCCTAGCAGCATGATGACTGAGCCACAGACAGAGGAAACTCTCTCTGCGTTACGTGACATACTATGCATGCGTGTTATCCACCCTGCCCCCACCCATCGCTTTAGTCATTCACTGTCAAGAGTGGCTGCTTCCTGGAACTCCCTCTTTGAAGTGGTTGTGTCTTGCGTGTCCAACCCTCCCCCACTGTGATGTAACCACTGACTTCTTCCGGTGGGTGTGCTCACCCCCCCGCTCCTCTCCGCCTCTCCCTCCTCTCCTCTCCCTTCCAGCTTTTCTGGTTGAACCCAGCCAGCCTGTGGGAGGGGAGAGCGCCGCTTCTCCTGCCGAGAGGGGAGACATGGGTAACGCTCAAAAGAAGCCCCACAGCCGGGGGAACGGGGGTCCACACAGTGAGTCCAGCAACTCCCACGCAGGACACCGGCGGAGCAAAGGAGGCAGCTCCGACAAGTACAGAGTCACGCAGGACAAGGTGGCCAACGGAACAGGCAAGAGGGGCTCTACAGCTTCAGTGCAGACCGACCACAGCAGCAGCAGCGGGAAGGGAACTCCTGCAGGAGGAACTGCAAGGGAAACTACCAACCTTGATGCCCCTTGTGGAGCCCTGCCCCCACCCCTGTCCCGGCTAAAAAACGAAGGGAACCTGCTGTTTAAAAATGGACAGTTCTCTGATGCACTGGAGAAATACTCCCAAGCCATTCAGGGCTATTCTGATTCAGGTAGGTCTGAGGAGATGTTTTTTTGGTGATGTCCTTCTTGTTATTATTGTCTAAAGTGACTGTGAATTCAGTTGTATAGTGAGCAAGGGGTTTGTTGATGTGTGACATGGTAGACAAGATGTGCCTCAGTGTCATACACATGTACTGTTTACACAGGGATATAAACGTCCTGACACAAACAGCCTCAAAATCACTGACCGATGTCTGATCGCCAGTGTCAGCCATATTTGAATTAATGTTGCTTCGTGGTTTCTGTCATCAAAGGTCTTGAGAGGGTTACTGTAAATGGTGATTGCAACTGTGTGTCAAAGGTCATGACCTTGCTACTATAATACTAGTGTTTGCATTCATGGTTTGTTCCTTTTAAGCACGCTCCAGTTTATATTTGGTCAAAACGAAAACACACCAGAATGTACTTGTGAATACCTAAACAACAGAAATAATATCTTCCACCAGCCTTACTATACATACAGTGATGAAATGGTTAAACGATTTCTAAAAGAGCTAAACAAGTTAAAAGGCTGTTGATTGATGTATGTAGTGACTGTCCCCAAAGTGATGCGTCACAGTGTGTCTGTTGTGTTGCATATGGACAGTGTTTCTGATTTAGCCTCAGCCTGGTGCTAAGCCTCTCAGCTCAGCTCAGCCGGTCCAGGTCACATGACTGCTCACTGTGAAATGGAATCTGTGGGACCGCAGCCATAATTCTTACTGAGAGCGAGAGAGTGGTCGATGGAGGGAGAGAAACTGCTGCTTGTCAGGCCTGACACACCATCAAACATACTTTCTCTGTCTCTCTGTGATCCACCATAATGCAGTCATTGCCCACTGAGCAAGAGGACGTTTAAGTGATTGGACATAAACATTGTCCAAGGTCCATCATCTGACTGATGTATTGAACGCTACATGTAGTGCAGATTGCAGCTCCGGATAGAGAAAAGTTACACCCTGGTAACCCTGTTAAAGCCATTAAACATGCAACATGCTGATAGTCTGTTAAAAGAAACTCAAATATAGACTTGAAATGTTGACAGTCTTTTTCAGTCTCATGTATTTGGATGGCCTAGTTAATACCTCTAACATACTGTGTTATGATAATTTAACATTTATCATTGTCATCAATCCCACACTGTCATCATCCATAATCGGATTTCATTTGGTGAGGTGGCATGCTCTGATGACATAGTTCGCAAAGATAAAAGAAGAATGTTACTCAGACCTCGGTGAAGGGCTATCTGATTCGCCCATGTTCGTAATGACACAAAAAAATGAATGAGGTGAATAGAGACAAAAGCAAATATGATGTTGTATATATACTGTTAAGAAAATGTCTGTAAACTTGTTTGTCAACCTTTGGACTTCATTAACTGTTTTGTTTTTCATTTTGTCAGTCCTGGAAACAAATGAGAAATGATGTCCAGGAACATGTGCTTATAATTATACATCTCTAAAAGGTGTATGAGGGTGTAGTAGCAGAAGAAAAGATAGACATCCCAGTTACTCAGACAAGAAGATTGGTGAAACTTTAGCACCGTAAATGTGTGAATACAACTTTTAGGTTATTGTCTTACTATTAAGGAGTTTTGCAAAGGCACACTTCCCATGTTGATGCAAACAAATGTGCTCTTTATTCCATCATCACAGAATCACAATCACATAGCACAAGAATTTCCCTAAACATAAGCAGATCATCCCATTTTTCAACAGTTCCTTGGTTACTGATAAATTAACTGATTCAGTCAACAACCCCAACATTATCAATAATTAATAACACATATACAGCATTTTACAGCCCCACTTTAGGCGGTCAAGAGATTATTTAAAGCCTGGTAGAATTTATGACACATATTTCCAGAGGGAAACTATGAAATGTTTTTTCTAAGTATATGTTTTTGATGATATTTCTCTCCCTGTGTAGGGATTGACAGTCCAGAGGATCTATGTATTCTGTATTCTAACAGAGCAGCTTGTTACCTGAAAGATGGCAACAGTCAGGACTGCATACAGGACTGCACAAGGTGAGATCATTTATTATTAAGTGAGAAGTAATGTTTGCCATGGGTGTCAATCCAAACTTCAAAACACTCTTACCTGAAAAAACAGGCCTATCATTTTGTAGAAGATCACTATCATGTTATGAGGAGATTTGCAATTGGGTGTGTTGTGAGGGATTTCCTTTTGGGAAGCGGTTTTATGAGCAGAAAACACAGGTTTACTTGAAAGCCTAAATACTTGGTATGTTTGCTTTGAATTCAATTTCTAATGAAAAAATAAAGGAAAACCAATGGGGGACTGTGTACTCACAGATACAACTGTACACCTATATCAACTTTTTAGGTATATATGTATAGGTGTATATATATACTTAGACAGAAGAATTTATCCATTTGAGATTCACATATAGTGAAAGTACAATCAGACATGGGCATATATAACCGAAGCTGCAGACTTGATCCTTTACTCCTATATCATCCCATCTATTAATACCAACCAGAGCTCTGGAGCTGCAGCCATTCTTCCTAAAGCCCCTCCTCCGCCGGGCCATGGCTTATGAGTCCTTGGAGCGCTACCGACAGGCCTATGTGGATTACAAGACTGTCCTGCAGATAGACATCAGTGTGCAGGCAGCACACGACAGCGCCAACAGGTATTAGCCTTCACCTCTTGACTGAGCTGAGAGGCCACAGAGGACAGGGAGACATGAGCACTGAAACACAGACATGAATAAGTTCTAACATTCATATTCACATTTCTTACTGGTCTGAATAGTAACACAAAGCCAGCCTCTGTCTGTAAGTTATGTTGAAATGTCAGCCACTCTAAAGATTGTAGAGAGTACCATGCTTTTTGTACAGAGAAAGAGCAAAGAACAAAGTGTCTTTACTGTCCATTTTAATTGGGTGATGCATAATATCATTAGATGCCTTAGGACAAAAACAAGGAATGCCTTATGCAAATTTAGAAAATGGACTGTACCTTAACCACAAGATATTAAACCAAATCAAAGGAACTAACACATACACTCTAATAACTGGCAATCGGATTTAGTTTGTGTTCAACAGTTCCAGCTAGAGGCTAATTATGGCTCTGCATGTGTTCTCTGTCAGGCAGTGCAGAAACTCACCTGGCTGCTTTGTGTTCAGGAGAACCAGAGGGCCAAAGCTTTAATACATGTCCATGTACTTTATCTGTAAACTGAACAATGTAGGTGTTAGTTCCGTATACATTTCATGCTTATTTTCTCTGAGCCCTTTTAATATCCTATTAATAGCGGACTGTGTCCAGTGTCCATACTTGTACCTGTGTCCATTGTAAAATCCAAGTAGCAACTTACTGATCTGGGACCTCCTCCAGGATCACCAGACTACTAATTGATCAGGACGGTCCAGAGTGGAGAGAGAAACTTCCAGAGATTCCCCTGGTGCCTCTGTCAGCTCAGCAGCACCGCAGAGAGGAGCCACCCAGTGCAGAGGTCCTCCAGGCAAGGGCAGAAAAGGCTGCCAGGGACACAGGTTTGTGTTTTAAAAGAAAAATCATAAAACATGCTCTGGATAATATTCACAGGATCACACTTATTGGTGTAAACTGGGACTAGTCTTGACAAGTCACATGCTGACAGTGTGACAGTGAGCCTCCCATGTAAATCCTTCACGTTGATCTGAAAGTAACCTCTGGATTAGTATATACAAGTGTGACACAAAGACCAGGTAGCCCTGTACTGTCTGGGGCCCATGTATATTTCTGAGTTGAGAAATGCACAGTGTGAAAAACTTTAATGGCAGCACCATTTTAAACGCCTGGGTCCATTCATCCATTAGCTACAGCTGCTTATTCCTCAGTGTCTAATCCCAGATTGGGTGAGAGGCAGTGCTTTCCCATAGAGACACATTCACTCCTACTGGCGGTGTAGAGTTGCCAGTTAAACTAACCTACATGTCTTTGCACTGTAGGAGGAAACATGTAGCATCGCACCTGACAGAGAGAAGGCTCATGGGTTTAGAGGTCGTGTTTCTAAGTTTCAGTAATTAAACAGTCATGTTTGTGACTCATATATTCTTGATATCAGTTAGCAATACTGGAAATTGAAGATTTACAAGCATTTATGCTTTATATTTTCTAAAATATAAAGCACTTTTTAGATGACATAACACACTGGTTCATACATTTCTTACAGGGTCTGTTTTTCTACATAGGGTACTTAACAACCTTTACTTAAGTTACAATTTCAATGTAGACTTTTTACTTTGAGTGGAGTGTGCTTACATATTTGTTACTCAACTATAGGATCAAGATATTTCTTCTTCCACTGCTTGACAACATAGAGGAATTGAAAAGAATAAGCTGATCCTCTCTGTTCCTGTTTCTCTGTCACGCCCCCTGAGATACTATGGAGGATAGGGGTGTTAAAGGTCTAACCTTTATATAAGTGGACGTGTTGCCTCTGTTCACTGACCATGCAGTTTCCTAATTCACAAGGCCATGCTGCAGCTATTATTTTGAAACTCTAATGAAAGAATGAAGCTGCTGGCACAGTTTTTTCTCCCTGAAGACACTGAAGGCAGTAGATTGATTAGCCCTCAATTCACACTGACTGAGTGCTGGCTTAACTCATTCCTCATGTCCAGCCAGCACAACATTGATTTGTTTAAACCCTGAAGCTCTGTAGCCCAGAGGACTAACGCATTGCCTTGCGTTAGGTTTCGTAAGAATTGAAAGGGTGGTCTGTTTAAATCGTAGTGTCAATGTGGGTTCATGGCTTCACCAGAAAGCAGAGCTGAACTGGTCTGAATAAGCAGTAATAATAATCACCCCTTGACTTTGTCTTCCAGAGAGAAAAGCAGAAATTCGTTTCACAGTGTTGAAGCAAGAAGGGAATGATTTTGTGAAGAAGGTCCAATACCAGGACGCACTTGGAAAATACAGTGAATGCCTTAAACTTAAGCCAGAGGAGTGTGCAGTCTACACCAACAGGTTCGAGTCTTCACACTCACAGACACTACTATGTTCCTTTCACTTTCTCTTCCTCTCAGGACTGTTACAAAACACATGGAAAAATTGACAGTGCAATCATTACTGCAATGAATCGCAACTAGTCATCAGTCTATTAATGGTTGTAAATCAGGATCTGATGTTGGTAAGATTAAGATCAGGGCTCAGAAAACAGTTGCCTGCTTCCGCTCTTTGTTTTTCACAACTTCTCCTATTGCCAATACCAAATGTATTGTCTTACAGAAAGCATGGTGCACACACCAGAGCAAACACACATATTACTGCTACTACACAGCGGCTGCAACCGAAAAGCATA